CGCGTGAGCTGGCTTTTCCCGTACCTGCGAAATTCTCGCGAGCGCTCACGCGTGTCTCCCTGTTTCTGTATGCCGGTCCCATCTGCCGTTTCCTGCTTCCTCTCGCGCCTCTTTCATTCCCTCCCGGCTTTTCGAATTAGGGGGGGACCCGCGTCGCGCTACGCTCGTTCCACGCGGCGAAGGTGCGTTTCGATTAAAAGCTTCGACCTCGACTGCGTTAACTCGCGACTAGCCGTCGTTAAAGTCACACGCGTAAAATGCAGGCGGACCGGAACCACACCCGACACACGCGCGCGGAACAATACGCTTGTCTTCGAGTGTCCGTAGCGATTTAAACGCCTCGGCCGAGGTGCACGGTGAAAAGAAAACCGGGAGATCGATACCTTCGCCACGCCGTGGATCACACGGAAGGGAAAAAAATGGATAAACCGCGGTAGGAAGAGCAGCGAGGAAGACGACGACGCACATCTGGACGTTACGGTTTCTTCTACTATATAGGAGAGGAAGGTGAACGAACCGATCCGAGCGATTCCCTCTCTCTCTCTCCTCTCTTTCCCTCTTTTTCTCTCTCCTTGCCTGCGATCCACCTTGCTCCACCGGCACGCAGAAAATTGCCTCTTAGCATGCTTAGAGACGCTGCAACGCGTCGTAACAATGTTGTTCGCTTCATTCGGGTGTATCGTCGGCGAGCGCTGGCCGATTATCAACCTAAAAAGCGGTCCTTACTTTAATCGTCTTCTCGGCGTCGTTTACGACGTCGCGCGAGCGGTGTGTAATTTATCGTATTCGCGGATTGCACGATGCATCGCGCGCGCCGCCGTCCTCTCTCGCGATGTCCTGGGGATCGATGCAAGGATATACCGGTGGCTTTTACCGTTACGATATCTCTAACGGGATGCAGAGAATACGACAGAAAGAACAAGGCAATTCGGAGCCTTTCTCGCGCTTTCCAGATCGACCGCGTACACTCTCTCTCTCTCTCTTTCAGTCGTTGCCTCGAACGATTTCACTGTTATGTGCCGTATAATATAATAGTAGGCGAACGTACGAAATATTGTCGTATCGGAGATATTTTTTTATGCATATCATATGGAATATATATTTTGTTTTTGAATTCGTTCCAACGAATGCAATTTTTAAATATTTAAAAATTATTAAACACAGTCGGTACAACGAGTGGTGATAACGAGCAACGAGCGAAAGATGGAAATTGATTTCGGTAAACAGAATCGAATAAATGCATTTACATTTTAACGGTGCTCACGTTCCGATGCAGAAGCTTTAAGCCTGTATCAGCCTACACTGAGAGTAAAAATCGTCAATCTCACTGCAAATTATAGTCATTTCCGGAACCAACCATGTTTTATATTATTCTACCAACAAAGTAGTAACGGCGATATGTATAAAGTTATTGTCAATAATACCATACGCAGTAGCACTCATTACTAAAATGCGTTTCTTGACTATTATTTCACTCTGTATGATTATAGTCACGAATATCGGAATATCAATTTTTCTCAGTGTGGACATTGCAGATTGAGGATTGCGAATTAGAAATTAGAACTCGACGAGTCAGCTAGATTCAATCTCGCGCTTTGTTCCGCGATTGGCTAAATAATTATTTTTGTATAATTATAATTATAAATACCGGGCAAATTTTGTTCTCTAGGCAGATATTGCAGGTTGAAAACTGCACATTCGAGACTTTTTAATTATATACACTGAAGGATTTTTCCCGTTAAAAAAGATTATTATTATTATTATTATTATTATTACTAGACTTAGTTAATTTCGATTTCGATTTGCTTCGTCTTGGTTTGTCGAGTATCAAACCTCAGTCCGTCATCCTCAGTCAGCAAACACCTGGTCTGACACGGGCTTTACACGTGTGCGGTGCGCTCGCGTGCAAACGTGCCGCGGGGTTAGCGCACCGTGCGCTGCGACGCGCCGGCGGCTTTTTCGAAATTCTGTCACGGTGGTTTGCGACGCGTGCAAAACGCGATGCAGCGGCTCGTGACGACCTTCGATCGCTCAGTGACTGTCAATTGTCGAAGACCCGTGACGAATGTGACGCCGGAAAATACACGGAACAGCTCGCGGTTGTTTTGTCAGGACGACGACGAGGATGATGGTGTCGTTTTGTAGCATCTGCCTGCGATTTTATCGCGGCTCGACCGACCGCGCGTGATCCCCGACTGTGTCCGCCGCGCATGCTGAACTCGAAAATCGTCGCAAAAATTGCGTTACGTAATCAGGAAAATCGTCGGCGGCCGTCGCGCACGTCGGACGAAAATCGAGCAGCCGGCGTTACGCGAATCAACAAGTGTCGTTTGGAACCAGACGAGCCCGGCGATCGTGAACTTCGCGCATTCGAACAAGGATAATAATGTAAAAAAGTTTGACAACATATTTCCGAAACATCCTGTGTATAGTCAATGGAAGGGAAGTCGCAACATCTTTTTATCAACGAGTTTCGCAACACGTTCGCATCCAAGAGGAAAATGTGTTATTTAAATAATTCCCAGAAGAAAAATTTTCCTGTTGGACACTAGCCGCGCTCTGAAGTTCATTGAGATAGGTGTTGCAATCTTCCTTCCACTGACCGTGTATATGTGTGGTCAGTCATAAAAACGTTGTTACTATCTTTTCTTGATAAGTTTCAGTCATGTGTCCACCAGTAGGAGAATTTCGTTCTCAGTAATTCTCGAGACATACGTTTTCCTATTAGATATGAGATACGTTGCGAAACTTATCGAAAAGAAAGCGTCTCAACTTTTTTATAACTGGCTGTACACTGAAAAAGAATCACACGAAATATCTCGAATCGAATAATGTAATATATCAAAAACCGTTTCCCGAGACGAAGGTTGAAAGGAGAGAGAGGAGCAGGTGAGAGACTGTAATCGTGCATTAACGTGTCGCATTTCCCGCATGCGTCGTGTTTCTTAAACTCCTGAATCAACGCTGACGCGACAGAGACATTGTATAATCAATGAACAAAACACAGTCCGGCGATATTGAGTTTGCCGTTTAAACAAAGACTCAGGAAGGGTGAACGTTTACACGTGATGCAGCTGCATCTTACATTCGCACAACGACGAGTTCGCCACGATTATTCCGGATTTCATTTCGCAACGTGGATTTTTTCCGTTATCGCTTATCTCGATGACGCGTTGTGATAAGCGATAACCCGAAACCGGTGAATCTCAATTTTAGCCTCGCTCGCCAGAACGAAGGTGAAGAACGAGCGAGCGAGCCGAGGAACTTACCTGCGGACCGTCGTAAATCCATATTTTTCGGAAATGGAGATTACGTTTATCGAGCTTATCAAGATTACCGTAGGTTATTACGCTCATTGAACTTATTGTAAGCTTATTATAAGCCCCGCGATTTTTGGAACGGATAATCTACATTCAGAAAAAAGGAAAAAAGGAGAAAAATAAGAGGCGGACTTAAAACGGGCAGGCTATTTAATTCCTCGCGGTATTAACGCTGAAACGTGCGCTCAGCTTATCTGCTAAGTTACGGATGAATTATCAATCACTGATAAGCCTATGCTTCCGATATTACCGTAGAATTTCTTCGTCGCGATGCCCGTTCTCTCGGGAGCATTCAAAATCGGAAACGCGAGCGCCTTTGTCACCGAACGAAACGGACGGTTTTCTGACCCCGCGAGATAACGATGCGAAAATTATGTCGTCGCCGTGTTTGGGAAAGCCGCTTTTGAACAATGACTCGTTACCGTTACCCGAAGAATGGGAGATTGCGTCACCGTTACCAGTGAAACAGAAAAATAACGTCGTCACCGAGTCGTTACTGAAAAAAGTAACGGTAACGACGTTACAAGTGACGCGTTACTGCCCAACTCTGATCGTGGCGCGTTCCCACGTATGACGACAACGCAACCCGCATTTTACTCACGGTAGCCGATTATCGCAGGCATTTATCTAAATTCGTCTAACCAGCGAACGATCTAACGTTAACCTTCACGGACGCGGCTTATCCTCGCCCTTATCGACCGTGACGGCACTTTTATTGCTTCTCCGTCAATAATGCACCGCTTGGAATAGAAGCGAGAATCGTCGACGCGGGTGGATGAGTGCCGGATTCCCATCGAACATACGTGTCGATGCGCCGGATGTCGAACGGACGATTCGTTCGCCGGAAGTTCCTTCCCCGATGGAGAAAGTGTCCGCGTCAGCAAAAGCCCGTCGTCGGCGGGTCGCGTACCGTAAAAGTGCGCATTATCTACGATTTATTCCGGCGCTCGCTCTCGTTACCGGGGAATTTCACTTGTTCGGATGTCCTTTCAAATACCAATCCTTCAGCCAATTCGCACAATCGAGGTTTCCCATATAGCGCTATAATATTTTATTGCAATCTTTCTGAAGACCGACGCTTTATAGTTGTTACAACTTTACAGCAGCGTGTGGTAACATTTCGCAACGTATATATATAGAATATTACAACGTTTCATTGTGTAATATTTATACAATGTTCCTGCGACCTTTCTGTGCTGTCTGGTTCCCTCTTCCTCTTTGGTGTTTTCGTGACGTGATACATCTACTCTCTGCAAACGTTACGTGTTTTCTCGTAATTAAAGCTTCGAATTGAAATTCTTAATTAAACCTCGCTTGTAATTAGCCGGCGAATAATCGCTCTCATAACCGATGGGCTTCCCTCGAGCTTAATTTGCGGAAGGATCTTTGTTCCCGACCGCTAATTGCTCGAAAACCAACAATGTCTCGAGACGGAGACACCGACTTCGCTCACAGATTAGCCGAGTCGCGCGCGCGATCGAAAGAAAATCCCCCGCGCAATCCTCATAAATAATTTAATTGTACCTCGTTAGAAGCGCGTAATCTTTATTGTACGGAACGTATTTCACGAGCGTCCTGTACTTTCTCTCGAGTACAGACGCGGGAGATTGTCAGCCAGTCGACTGGATCCCAGGATCGCGGAGTTGCACATCTCGACGTGTGTAACCGTGTGTGTTCCAGAGTAAGACCCAACATGGAGAACCAGCAAGTGTGGGTCCGAGACCCCCAAGAGGGCTTCATCATCGCCAAATTCACGGACATGGTGGACGGGGACGCTCTTATCGTGCCGCTCGACCCGAAAAACCCACAGCGCACCTGCCCGTTAGACGAGGTGTATCCTGCCGGCGAATACACTAAAGATGTCGAGGATAACTGTGAGTGAACCACCTTGAGCGTCGAATTCCATCAAATGATATGTATTAGTCCGACGTGTCGCGTGAAGACGAGTTCGGAATGATTCATTTGTCGTAAGAAGGAGAAACGGATCTCTTATCGAAATGGTCTAACTCTTCCCACAAACCACGTCCTATTTTCTTTCTTTTTACATAATTGTGTGAAGCAGGCTTAGTTTGACAATGTGGATACAGAAAAAATTTACTGTCACGCATACGTTGCGTTACATATTGCCACACTGCTAGCGAACGTGTTAAGTATCAAATCATAACACGCGAGTGCATGACCAATTAGAGCTTTAATGCAAGTTATTTTTAAGGTATCAAAATTTTCAATAAAAAAATAATAAAATTATATATATATATAATAAAAAATATTGAAAATTTTTATATTAAAGCGTTAAAATATGATATACTTTGTGTATTAAGATATCAAAATTTTAAATATTTTAGGAGCATAGTAAAAAAAATAATATATATATATATCTGCGACCGTTTACAGTTGTGGACCCCTTGATTGTTATTACACCGTGACTAACTTATTTCGTCCAGTTTATCAGAGATTACTATCGCACGGTCACGCTCACTTCTCACGGGACTTTCGCTCTTTTGCAAAAGAGCGCTTTCACCGATCCCTCGGCGATTGTTGTTTTTATTTTCTAAATTATTCCGTCAGGCGCCCTCATGTACCTGAACGAGGCCACGCTGCTGAACAACATACGCACTCGTTACTTCAAGGACAGGATATACGTGAGTAGTCACGAAGGTGCCAAGGCTCGCTCGCTCGTTCATTGGCGGACTCTCGGTCACTCGCGTTTAACCGTTTAATTGCAGACTTACGTCGCCAACATCCTGATAGCCGTGAATCCGTATTGCGAGGTGAAGGATCTCTATTCACCGCGGACCATCAAGGCTTATCAGGGCAAGTCCTTGGGCGAGACGCCACCGCACGTCTTCGCCATTGGTAACGTAACCGTTTCCCCGACCTTTCCCATCGTTAGTGCGACCGAACGCAGCGACAGTACAGTTGCCATTTCCGTTTTCTCGCAGGCGATAAAGCGTTCAGAGACATGAAAGTGCTGAAACAATCCCAGAGCATTATCGTATCCGGTGAATCGGGAGCGGGAAAAACCGAGTCGACCAAGTATCTACTGCGCTATCTCTGCGATCTCTGGGGTTCCACGGCCGGACCGATCGAACAAAAGATCCTCGATGGTAAACAAATAAGCGACACATACGCAGGGAGGGGATTTTATACACGGAGAAAAATCATTTGTTGACGTAGCAACTTTTACGTTGTCGCAACCAAACCAGTTATTACATGGACAATGAAACGATTTGTCAAGTATACTTATTCCCATTCGTCATTCCCTGGACTATTTTGCTGAATGTACAAATGATTTTGCTGTAAGAACAAATTAGTGAATGTAGAAAAACATGTAATTATTTTGTTTTAACAACAAACTAACGTCTTTTAAGGACGAACCCAGTAGGCAAAAAGTCATTAACATAATGTTATTACAATTTTATTTTGAAACTTGTAACATTTTTAGATATATAGTTCTTCGTGTTGTATACAACGTCATTGTTGATAATATTTGACCAAAACATTAAAAATAATATTTCTACACTATGATTTTAACATTTACGAATATTACATCATCAAATAACAGTTTCAAAACATTTATAAAATATTATATCAAAATGTTTATAAAATTTATATGAAATCAATGTTTCAAAAGATTAATTTAATGTTTCTTGCTTATTGGGGATTCACTCGGCAGAATATTTTCTATCCTGACAGTAAAACCGTTTCTTCTCCAATTACAAATAATTCGTTAATTTGATTAGCTAACTAAATTTTATTTGCTTATCCGCCAAAATAGCAACATTATTTTTCTCCGTATAGTAAAAAAAATTATACCAAACAATATTTTATAACTAAGAAACATATCGACATTTTGTCTAAATTTATTTATACTTTAGGAACTATTCATATTTTAGGAATTAAAGTCTATTATTAAACAATTTACTATATTTCTTATCAAGATAAAATCTATTGATAGTCTATTCTTACACCGTTAGTAAACATGGTAAAAAATCGAGAAGAATTTACGTAAAGGAGAAAAAACTATAATATTCTCTTCATGTGATGAAAATCTCCAAAGAATGATTTCAATTGTAATCAAACAGTAAATAACCGTGAAACGATTAGAGCTGTTAGAAGACTAATTAAATAATTGGCAGCCAATTAATCTCCACCGACATGAGTTTTCTTTGTAATAAGATATTATTATTATTATTGTATTCTATTCACTTCTGCATAAAGATATTATAGTATTCTATTCTCTTCTATATAAAGGATATCTCTCATTGTATCTTTCGAACATGAATTAAACAAGATACTTCAACTGTGACGTATTCCTCATAAATTTTCATGAAAACTATAAATTCACCTGACTTTGAACCAGTGTTGCGTGTGACATTAATTTTTTTACATATATTTATTATTCAAAACAATAAATTAGCAAATTAGCCGAAATATAATACATTTTCATGTTTTTAATATTAAATGTATAAAAAATAAAAATCCCAACGCCAACTGAGACTTTTGAACACCAGATGCATTTATATAATTTTTTTTATAAATCTCTCAGAGCCAATCAAATTTTATAATCATAAATCCTCGCTCTTCTTCAGCAAATCCGGTGCTGGAAGCGTTCGGCAACGCTAAGACGAAACGCAACCACAACAGCTCGCGCTTCGGCAAATTCATGGAGGTGCACTTTGACTCCAAATGCCAGGTAGTCGGCGGCTACATTTCGCACTACCTCTTGGAGAAGTCCCGGGTCTGCCTGCAGAGTCCGGACGAGAGGAACTACCATGTGTTCTACATGATGTGCGCCGGCGCGCCGGCCGATCTGCGGGCGAAGCTGGGCATCACCAAGCCGGACGACTTCCACTACCTGAAGAACGGCTGCACCCAGTACTTCTGCGACGCTAACTCGGAGAAGCGGCTGAATGATGCGCAGAAAAGCCGCGAGCAGATCCAGAAGGGCAGCCTGCACGATCCCATCCTGGACGACGTCGAAGGATTCAACGCTATCGACCAGGTATGTTTCGCACGTAGATTTGTCTGCGCGCCGAGCGATCCGTCTGCAATTTCCTCATTCTTCGCTGCATCCGCGACCGAAAGGCGTTCACCCGGCTCGGCCTGACGGATGCCGAGCGCATGGAGATCTACACGATGGTGGCGGCGGTGCTGCATCTCGGCAACATCACCTTCGAGGACAACCCCGAGGACACCAAGGGCGGCTCCAGGATAACCGCCAGCTCGGAAAAGGCGGTCGTGGCGTCCGCGAAACTGCTCGGGGTCGACCCGGAGGAGCTGCGGCAGGCCATGGTCTCGAAGGTCATGCAGACCAGCCGGGGTGGCATTAAAGGAACGGTCATTATGTGAGTGTTTAAGTTATCATTCCAACGGAACGGAGATACCAATTGATATTCTCTCTTCTGCATGATAAGAATTTTCGTGTTAAATTCAACACATTTTGCACGTTCCAAACGGCCTACTCAAATTTTCATGTTAATTTAACGCAAGGTAAATATGTTGCAAAGTAACGCAAATATTATGTCGGAAATTAACACAAAATTAATATGGTGATCGACACTGAAGTGTAAAATGTGTTATTTCAACATTTACACGTGTTGAATATCGACACAATACAAAATGTTGAGATAATATAAACACAATATGTTAAATTAAAACAACCTTTTCGTATCTTTCTCGCCTGGAGAGCTTACCTCTCATCTTCATCGTTGTCTATTAAGTATATAAATTAATTCGGTGCCTTTAGTTTTGCCAATTTCTACATCTATAATAAGCATCTTACATCTAAATATTTTTCTACTGATGTCCGAAAAATTTGTCGATGACTTTCATCCATCTTCACTTTAATATTTCTAGATTTTTTACTTTCAAATACTTAAAACCTTTTCCTTCTGTACTAATTATCTTATATCTTTTATTATATCTCACACCTGAAATTTTATTATTCACCCATTGTCTCTGTAAATCCCCCTATTTATTACCTTTCCCTATGTATTTACTCTTTCACTTTTTAGAAGAACAAATTAGTAATAGTGGTAATTAGTAAATTAGGAAAACATATTTTGCTCTAACAGCAAACTAACGCGTTCCTAAGTACAAATGCTAATAATCGGCAGAATATTTTCTTTCTTGACCAACATAACTGTTTCTGCTATAATTATGAATAATTTGCTAATTTTGTTAAATTAACTAAATTTTATTGCTGTCGCAATGAATATGCGGTAGCAACGATGGTTTCCACAAAATTGATTTTTTTCGTGTAACGGAGATTATTTCGTTAATTAAAATTACACACCTTTCATTGATAAAATAAATCTTGATTTCTGGTAACGAAAGCGCCGAAATTAGTTTACACAGCTAATGTTGTCGCGATTTTCCGACTACGTTTACCGATTCATCCAATCGCGGTAGGGTGCCGTTGAAGGTTTACGAGGCCAATAATGCCAGGGACGCGTTAGCCAAGGCAATTTACAGCAAGCTATTCGATCACATAGTCGCTCGTATCAACAAGAGCATACCGTTCAAGGCTTCGAGCTACTATATCGGCGTATTGGACATCGCAGGATTCGGTGAGCCGATCAGTTCCCATCGGGTTAATCGTGACCGGGTTAACGGCAGCGTCACGACGCACTCACTTTCGTTTCTTGTAGAATACTTCAAGGTCAACAGTTTCGAGCAGTTCTGCATAAATTATTGCAATGAGAAGCTCCAGCAGTTCTTCAACGAGCGGATATTGAAGTACGAGCAGGACCTTTACGCCCGAGAATCGTTGAACGTGCCGAAAATCTCCTACGTCGACAATCAAGACTGCATAGGTATCGGTGGAGCGAGTTGAAAATGAAAATTGCGAAAAAGCCAGAGAGCGTTTGATGAGAAAACACCGGACGAGATCTTAACGTGCAAATAAATTCCCTCCTTGCATATGAAGTACCACTTCCTACGTAATCGAATTACTTCGGATAAAGTAATAATAGGCGAGTCCGCAGGAAGCAAGTGTTACGCAAATCATGCTAACTTTCAGATTTAATCGAGTCGAGGAACACGGGTATCTTCAGCTTGCTGGACGAAGAGTCGAAACTGCCGACTCACAGTTTCGCGCATTTCACCAGCGAGGTTCACCGAGCCTGGAGCGGTCATTTCCGCATCACTTTACCGCGAACGTCACGACTGAAGGCTCATCGGGAATTACGAGACGACGAGGGCTTCGTGATTCGCCATTACGCCGGCGGTGTCTGCTATCAAACGGTAAAATAGCGAATTGCCCGTCCAGAAGCTGCGAGCGCGTAAAGCACCGTCATAAACAGTGTCTCTCAACGAGGTTGTAACTTTTTTGCGCGCCTCTCGCACTTCGCGAATTTTTACCGACACGTCACCGATCTCGACCGAGTCTCGGCTGAGCGCGTTTTTCCAATTCGGCAGAACCAGTTCATCGAGAAGAACAACGACGCGCTGCACGCCTCCTTGGAGGCGCTCATTCAGGAGAGCGGCAATAAATTTCTCAGAACGCAGTTCGCCAATTACTCTTCTCAGAAGGGGAAGCTAACCTTCATCAGCGTCGGCAGTAAATTCAAGACGCAGCTCGGTGAACTGATGGACAAGCTGAAGAGTAACGTAAGGATGCTTCCTTTCTCGTTGATGTTCTTTCCGTTTACACTCTTCTACAGCGGTTCTCATTAAGCGCTTCGCCTGCCTTTTTCTCCTTCTTCTTTCAGGGCACGAATTTCATAAGGTGCATCAAGCCGAACAACGATATGGTGGCTCATCAGTTTGACGGCAACAGTATTATGAGCCAGCTGCGTTGCTCGGGAATGACTTCGGTTCTGGAGCTGATGGAGCACGGTTACCCCAGCCGGGTGCCTTTCCACGAGCTCTACAGCATGTACAAGTCTTACCTTCCGCCGGAACTCGCCAAATTGGACCCCAGATTCTTCTGCGAGGCGTTGCTTCACAGCCTGAAATTGAACCAGAAGGACTTCAAGTTCGGCATCACCAGGGTCTTCTTCAAGCCGGGCAAGTTCGCGGAATTCGACAGGATCATGAAGTCCGACCCGGAGAATCTGCGCAAACTAGTGGCCGACGTGAAGAAATGGCTACTCAAGTCGCGGTGGAACAAGATGCAGTTCTGCGCCCTGTCGGTGATCAAACTGAAGAACAAGATCATCTATCGCCGGCAGCATCTGATCGTTCTACAGAAGACGGTGAGGATGTACTTCGAGAAGAAGAGGCACCGACCGAGGATTCGGGGCACGATGAAGATCAGGAATCTGAAGAAGCAGCTGATACGAATGGAGGAAACCGCGGGCCAGCTGAAAAATCGGGAGAAGTCGTCGCGGGACATGAAAAGACTCGAGAACGACCTGGAGATGGCGATGGAAAAGATCAAGCGTAACCCGAGGATCACACCGACGGAGATAGACGGTCTCTACACGTCCCTGGTGAATCAGGTGAACAAGCAGATGGCCGATCTGCAGGATATGGTGAAACAGGAGAAAGTCGCCGAGGAACAGGCGAGGCTGCGGAAGATTCAGCAGGAGCTGGAACTGGAGAAGAAACGGAAGGAGAATGAGGAACGTAAAGCGAGGGAGGAGGAGGAGCACAGGAAGAAGAAGCTCGAGATGGAAGCTAGAAGGAAGATAGAGGAGGAGCAACGGAGGAAGCAGGAGGAAGAAGATCAGAAGACCGCGGCTGCTCTTCAGGTTTGTCGAGTTTCATGTTTTCCTCGATTGTAACAATAACGAGACAATTACGACAATAATTGTCAAATTATTCACTTATTTGTTATTTAAAGGCCCAACTGGAGAAAGAAGCTATGGAGGAGACTCGGTATCGGGAACTGCTCGAACAAGAAAGAAGAGACCACGAGTTGGCGGTGAGACTTGCTCAAGAATCGAACGGACAAGTGGAGGATTCCCCGCCGCCTGTGCGAAGGTAAGAAGCGGATAAAGAGTTTCGCTTGTTCTCTGGTAAAAGAAATCGGCGGCTCTAGATGGTAATCCGACATAGGAACAAATTAGTAAATCAATGATATATCGTTGATAAAAGAGTTCGGTTAACCAGGAACGGAACAACCAGGTGCGTTTTGGTTGAAGGGAACAGAATTTCTGGTTATAAGAACTACATTTAGAGTCACAAGAGTCAGAAATTCTGTTTCTCTCAACCAGAACGTATCTGGTTGTCCCCTTTCTAGTTGATGCAGATCTTTTTTTCCGCGACTATCACGCCATTCCAAATTCGACGGCTTTCGTTCGCTGCGCGACAGAGCGAGAACAGAAATAAAATTGTCTTCTATTAAAATTACGCAGTGGCTCCGACGTGCGAGTGCCCACGAACAACAACAGGCTGATAAGGTATCGTATTTTTCGCGTTTTTCGCACGAACCGACAACTAACAATCACCGAGAGATTAGCACTTTTCTCGAGTGAATTAACACTTTTGCTGCTCGTTATCTCTCTCTCTCTCTCTGTGTTTTACTGACCGATTCATCGGTAAATCTCCCTCAACGAACAAATTGTTCGAAGAAAGCTCATCATTTGTCACTCAAGGAAGCCATCGTGAACACGACGGTGTATCTTCGCACGTTTAATTAATCGATAGAAATCATAGCCGTAAGAAGGAGCAAAAAGAGGCTTTTTCAGGTTTTCTCGTTTGGATTTCTCGCATCATCATTCCTCCCCCCCCCCCCCCCCC